ATATATATATATATTTGTGTGTGTGTGTGTGTGTGTGTGTGTGTGTGTGTGTGTGTGTGTGTGTGTGTGTGTGTGTGTAAATAAAATTGCATTGGAAATCTTGTCTGGTACAGAAATTCAATATACACATCGATATTTATTTGCATAATTAATATTTTAAAACAATATATTATATAATAAACTGCATATAGCTTAATAAATTATAAAAACTTAATTAAATTAAATTAAATTAAATTAAATTAAATTAAATTAAATTAAATTAAATTAAATTAAATTAAATTAAATTAAATTAAATTAAATTAAATTAACTGGCAACTCATGCCCAGTCTTTGTACCATTATTTGCATGACCAACTCAAAGAATATATAGTTTCATGTGGCTATAAATTTCAATAAAAGTTATTCAATTCAATGTAAAAGAATAAAAGTCACCAACAACAAATGTCAGAGCAGAAATCAAGATTCCAATTTTCAGTTAAAAAGTGTGAATAAAATGATAAATCACAAGCTGTGTGCTCTGTTAATAACTTTTTAAACTACCTTTATTACTATCAAATAACTTGAATTTATTTAGTTTTGTTCCATACATAGTAAATAGTAGTGTAGTGTCAGTAGATGGCATTCTCAGGCTGCTCTTTTATAAACACTGTGATGCTGCGGGTTATTAAAGGTCACAGTGGTCAGAACAGTGTGATTTAAAGGTCATTAAAGATTTGACTTGTAAAGCGATTACCTCCCCATTGTTTTGAAAGCCTTAGCCTGACCTAGTCTTGAGGTTCGGGCAAACCTGTTTTCTTAAGCAATTTAAATGAATTGACTCTTTTGATCTGGTTTAGTCTCATTGCTGGTGACCACATAAAAACATTAGATTGATGACTATGCATTTTAAAGTTGGATTGTAAAATCCGTCCTGTTGTTTTTTGAGGATAGTGGCATCGTTAAGAGCCTCGCTAATGAAAGGGAGTGTAAACGTCAGAAAAATGGACTTGTTTTTGGCTTTCTGTGGGTTTGTCTTTTAAAGCACTGGTTCTCAGTGGGTCGCAGATCTGTCCTGATATGGTCTAGTGATTGTAAAAAATATGTTATTATATTTATATTTCATTTCCACTTTTTGTTTCATACATACAGTTCAGTATTTGGGACATTCTACAGAAATGTCAGTTTTAAAGTCGACGACAAATTATGTTCCAAGGATGTTTTCACAGTTTTTGAGGCTCCTGTAAATGAGACCAAGTTATGATATTAATTAATATTAATATGCTGTATTTAAGTATATATTTTTTTTGTCCTTTTCAATGGACATCAAGTCAGGAGTGTTTCCCATCGATGCATTGTTTGGGAAAAAAAACAATGTAGTGACAAGTGTTTCCCAAAACCTATAGTTTCTCTGTCGCAGATCCACCGTTTAAACCACGTTAGTGATAACATAAAACGCCCATAATGACACTTTGAACAGGGTGGAGTAACAACTTCTTCATCTCATCACGTCCGAGCACATTCACCTGAATTCCAATTAGACGATCTGTAATGAAAAGGAAAGGGAATTGTGCCATTTTTATATTTATTTCAAAGTTCTTTCATGCCTAAAATTACAAAAACACAGAACAGACTCACATTTAGGAGCAAGGGGTGGCCCCTGGTGGTTCGGCGGTATTGGTTGCATATAGGGAGGTTCAGCTCTTTAATGTTTTTTGCCACCCTTTAGAGAAAGACTGAAAATATAGGAAAATACCTTTACCGGATGATAGCGGGATAGAACTGTAAAATACGGGAGAATCCCGGGAAAAACAGGAGGGTTGCCAAATTGACAGGTAAATAAAATAAATGACAATAAATTAAATTAAATTAAATTAAATTAAATTAAATTAAATTAAATTAAATTAAATTAAATTAAATTAAATTAAATTAAAACCCAGTTTTTTTACTATGATTTAGATGACCAACTCTAATAATATATAGTTTTAAATTATTATCATTAATAATAATAATAATAATAATAATAATAATTCCTTGTCAGCTAAATAAAAATAAAATAAAATAAGTTTAATTTTTATATATTTAGTTTATTTTTAAATAGTCAAGTTTTATGTTAATAAAAAAAATAAAATAGCTTTTAGATCAAAAGGTATTTGAGTAATGTGGTCTAAGTTCGAATTCTTAAACATGTTTCCATACCAAAAGAGCATGTTTCTGTCAAATTTTATCTCTCAGTGTTTTCTCAATGGGTTCAGAAGTATGAGAATTTGTGGTCTGCATCAATAAAGGGCCTAAAATGTTCTAAACGCACAAAAAATGCAGGCGTTTTAACAGGAAACCATAAACACTGCATTGTTATAGCAACTGCTGTTGTTCATTGTAACTGTGGAAACATGAGGCCTGATGCTGCTGGAAATGTTCGCTCATTCAGAAACTGTGTTCAAAATGACTCAAACCATACATGAAAACAGTTGTGCACAGTAAGTTCTTTGGTGACCTAAAGTATCATAAAGTTTGGCTTGTTTATACTACTTCTGAACTCTGGTGTTGTATTTGTAGTATTGTATTACACTGAAAAAATATTTAAAGATGATTCCCTGGATTTACTCATTTTGTTAAGTAGTTGTAAACAATTTATTTGGGCTGAACTTAAACAAACAAATTAGATTGAACATTAAGTTGATTGTTGTTTATTGGCAACAATTTTGCAGACATCATTTTTTTTAGTGTAGTAGCATTCCTAGTATTTAAATTATACCGTCATTATTAAAATATGAAAAAGCATTAGAAACTGTCATATTAGTTTACAGGACATTTTTCAGTACACTATTTAAAATCAACAAATAAATCAATGAATAAAACATTTATAACTCAAACTTATCTTGACTAGTTAAATATAATATGCATTTTCAACTGTGAATTCCAAATATGACAGTTAATGGGTTAAATTATTATGTTGTTACTGCAAAATAAAAAAAAATAATAATAAAATACGTGTAATTTTTTATACATTTAGTTTATTTTTAAATAGTCACGTTTTATGTAAATAAATAAAAAAAGTTTGACCAGTTTGGAGTGGTCTTGCTAGTTTAGATTCATTTATTTCCAGTACTAAAATAAATGCATAATAAACATCCTTCTCAGAATTGGTCAGATTCATAAATCTTGTCATTATTTGAAGTTAATGACATGATTGTTTTTTTGTTAAAGCTCCTAACCTGACAAAAATATTTTAATCAGCAATACGTTTCATTTATTTATTTATTTATTTATTTATTTATTTATTTATTTATTTATTTATTTATTTATTTATTTATTTATTTATTTATTTATTTATTTATTTATTTATTTATTTATTTGTTTATTTATTTATTTATACATTGATTCATTTATTTTTATGTATTCATTTATTTATTTATACATTTATTTATTAACTCATTTATACATTTATTTATTTATATACTTAAATTTTTTCATTCATTTATACATTTATATATTAATTTTTATATATTTATTAAATTTTTTTATGTATTTATTTATTTATATATTTATTTATTTATTCATTCGTTCATTTGTGCATTTATTTATTTATAATTTTTTTTGTATTATTTATTTATATATATATATATTTTTTTTTAAATTTATTTATACATTTATTTATTTATTCATTCATTCATTCATTCATTCATCATTTATTTATTTATTTATTTATTTATTTATTTTACTTTATTTATTAGTCGGCAGTTCACCAAACTCACCACTTTTTACAGAGTGTAACCACAGATATAGACACTGGGGTGTTTTATATAAGTTACATAATCATACTATCAGATTCATACATGTTCACCGAACTCCCTGCTGTTTACTGAGTGTAACCACAGATATAGACACTGGAGTGTTTTATGTAAGTTATATAATCATAATATCAGATTCATACTTGTTGCCATTATATGAAGTTTCTGCCATATAAAAATGTCCTCAACTGTCAAATATCAATTTAATTTGTAGTAAATGTATAGTTTTTTTTTTTTTTTTGCATATTGTTTTGAAAAAAAAAAAAAGATTGAACATTCTTGAGAAACATGTTTTGTTCAACAAAATCTCATGGCAATTCGTAACTTTTAGATTTAGTGGCTAATTCGTATGAATTCGTACAATCTAATTTGTACAATTTAGTACGGTTTGCTCATCCCCCAATGATGGTTGGGTTTAGGGGTGGGGTTAATGCCACGCCTCCTTTTTAAAATCGTACATTTTCATATGACTGAACTCATACAAATTTGTACGAATTAGCCACTAAACTGGCAAAACGTAAAATACCTACGTTTTCTCGTGAGATCAGGCTGGTTTTGTTTGCATCCTTTTCATTATAAACATGAAAAAGAGTAAAGCAATAAAGCACACGCAATGTTACTTGAATTGAGTTGAATGAATTTCTATGTTTATCTTTCTTTTTTTATTTTTTTTATTTTGAAGTTAACCGTAACATTGTGACATAATTATATTTGTTGCTTTGTACAACTATAAACAACCTAATATGATTTCCATTAAACATACTGTAAATTTAGACGTCTAATCTAATCTCCATGTCTTTGTGCAGGGAAACCGAGGTCGAACTGGGGTGGTTGTGGCTGCGTACATGCATTACAGCAACATATCAGCGAGGTAAGACCTGCAGACCTGTCTTTATTCGATTAAAGATGCTCCTCTGAACACTTATTATGGAAAGACTCTAATCCCACATCACAAGACGGGCCACGTGTTGGCTAAAACACATGAGCAGAAAAACAACTGCCAAACCACATCACTTTACAAAGGAGGATTTGTCTCAAGACTCCAATTAAATGCTGATCAGATTCATCCGTGATGCAAAAAAAGTGTATTTATGCTATTTTTATGGGCTTTAAAGCTTCCAGTAATTTCATGAAGCACATTAACATACTTTTATCGGAGACAAAGATGCCTGTTAAGAATATGACAAACGTATTTCAGTCTCAAGACTCAAGCAACTGCTATAAACTTATGGATGAAAACTTGCCACCATAGGATATAAAACAACAAGAAAAAAATAAACATAAAACAATTAAAAAAGAAATTAGTAGTTTTTTTAATCAATCTAAAAAAGAAAACAACTATATCTTAAGGGTGTTAGTCCTATAGTTCTAATGGGAAATAGCACACAGCCCTTAAACAAATATTTTGAGTGGATGCCCATTGGGCAACGTCTAATAATAATAATAATAATATTTCCTTATTTATATAGCGCTTTTCTAGGCACTCAAAGCGCTTTACACACAATCGGGGGAATCTCCTCATCCACCACCAGTGTTCAGCATCCACCTGGATGACGCGACTGCAGCCATTTTGCGCCAGACCGCACACCAGCTGATTGATGGAGAGGAGACAGAGTGATGAAGCCAATTATGACATGGGGATGGTTAGAAGGTCATGATGGACAGAGGCCAGTGGGTAATTTGGCCAGGATGCCGGGGTTAAACCCCTACTCTTTTTCGAAGGACATCCTGGGATTTTTAACAATCATAGAGAGTCAGGACCTCGATTTAACGCCTCATCCGAAAGACGGCGCTCACTGAGCAGTATAGAGTCCCCGTCACTATACTGGGGCATTAGGACCCACACAGACCATAGATTGAGCATCCCCTGCTGGCCTCACTAACACCACTTCCGGCTGCAACCTAGCTTTCCCATCCAGGTACTGACCGGGCGCAGCCCTGCTTAGCTTCAGTGGGCGACCATGTGAGAGTTGCAGAGAGCTAGCTGTCTAAGGACAGTAAGATGTTCCACAAGTTGTATAAATTTACTTTTGTGCCTAAATCAATTTGGTTACTTAATTAATGTAGTTATTCGATATATTATTATTATTAATTATTATTATTATTATTAGTAGTAGTAGTAGTAGTAGTATTGTTATTAGTATTATTAGTATTATTATTATTGTTTTTATTATTTATAAATTATTATTATTATTATTATTATTATTATTATTATTATTATAAATTATTATTATCATTATCATCATCATCATATTTTTTCTTCAGTTATTGCTTGTGTTCTTGATGTTAAGTGTTGGTGTTTATTATGTTAAGTGTTGTTCCTCTTATATGTGAAGCACCACCATGTCTGAATAAATTGCCCCTATTAATTGATTAATATAGTTTTAGACTTAAAACTTAATTTAAAGTTTGACAGTTACAGATTGTTTTAAAATTTAGATTTTTTGTTGTTTATTTAGGTAGTATTCTAAACAATACAAACAAACAAAAAAAATAATCTTAAGGGGGCTAATACCCAAAAAGATTGTTGTAGTATATTAATTGTTTGTTTCCAGTTTTATAGTACCTTGACTTTAAGAAAAGGACATTATATATATATATATATATATATATATATATATATATATATATATATAT